AAGAACACTCGCCTTCAGAAGACGAGCCCTGCTTATTGTTGATGGCCTTGGGCACACCGTACGACTTGAGGGTCGAAGAAGATGATCCTCCGAAGCCAAATGAGACTTGTGTGGGCCCCACTGAAATAATCAAATGAGAACAAATCAATAGCACGCCCGAAAATTCCACTCAAATCATGTGGAGGTGCTTTTTTTACCTTTCCTCTCGACTTTCGGCTTCTGATCCCTCAGGGATGCTTCCTGTAATACAATTACGCCGCGTAAGAAGGAAAATTTAAGCACAAACACTCTTTCAAATATCCAACTTTCGTAACAATGTAAAACAGAATTCGAAATACAATGTGAATTGAAGTTGAGAACCTTACATTAAAGCGGCGCAGAAGTTGCTCTGCCTTGGCGGCATCAATATCATTTTCAGCTTTGTCACTTCAACATAGACAAAACGACACGAATTAAAACAAATTTAAAAACCGAGTCATGATAGGAGCCCTAAAGCAAATGTGTAGATTGTAACTAAGATGTTTTACACTTTGGGTGGGATGGGTTTTGGCTCTCTCTTGGGAGGACGTTTTGGGGCAAATTTCACCTAAATTGCAGAACGAATACAAATTAAATCAAACTAACATATAATTAGATTGATCGATTTCGATAAACGCAATACGGATGATGCTAAATAGAAATACCTTCCTGGGAGGATTCTTGGTGGTATTAGCTTGCAAATCATGATCCATCAGCCTCACAAGTTTGATTTCACTACTCACTCAGTCTACTCTGTACAAAATAAACAGCAGTATATATGAACTAAACAGATGAAAACGAAAATCTCATACAATGTAACTAACAATCATAGTGAATTTTACATTTAATAAGAATGATACAAAAAACCCAGAAAAAAGAAAAGCATGATAACCAATTGATATACATTTACAATCACATTACAAATAAGAGTAGGCATAAAATAACATGGTAGCCATTGATGGAACTAACCTTTTTTCAGTGGATGGTCGATTATTTCGACGATTTTGAAAAGAAAAGACAACTACTGTTCTCTTCGAGTGTCGGATTATAGAGAGAGAGAGAGAGAGAGAGAGAGAGAGAGAGAGAGAGGGAGGGGCTGAGGTTTAGGGTTTTAGGGAGTTAAAATGTGAGTGTGTAAGATATTCTGTGGGTCAGTTTTGGTCCAGCAACGGTGCGCCAAAATTGTTATTAATCGTGTCGAATTCGAATAGAAAAGTAGGCTCGTTTAATAGACTAACGAACACGAGTTCGTTATAGATATCTACAGATATTATTTAATATATTTTTATTTTATGTTTATATTTGTATATATTTTTTTTAAATTATTTTAATTTATTTTATATGTTTGAGCTCCAACGAATTCAAGCAAACAGATCAAAAGTTAAGCAAACAATTTAAAAAAAAAAAAAATGTTTGCTTTAAATTATTTGGCGAACAAACTCATGCTTTAACTAAATATTAAATGAACGAGCTCAAACGCGATGTTTTCTTGAAAAATAAAACGAACAAATATGACATTTTTTCAAACATGGTCGAACACGAGCTTGAAATGCTCAACTCGTCTCATTCGGGTTGATTACAGCAACAATGAAAATGACATAACACAACCATTAACACAACACGAATAACACAAAATTAGTAAAAAAAAAAAAAAAAATAGGTTGAACTTGGATTTCTCATCATATTTTGTGAGCAAATAAAATGCGTAAAATAAAAACAGGATAACAAGAATTTCTCGCCCCTGACGAAATTGAAACAATACAAGTCACATTATCACACACACAGGAAAAAAGTTGAGGTTTCGTCCTTCAAACATCAAGAAACATTCAGAAAAACCTCAATCTTTTTATCTAAAAAAACAAAAATTCAGAAAAAAAAAATATATATTTTGCCAACCCAATCAGAACTCCCATTCCCACCGAGTCAAACGGCTACAAAATATACAATAGAAATAATAAACGGAGATCACTAAAAAGATCTAGTTCCTTGCTGCTTGCACAGACTGAGATGTGGCAATCATCTGGGCAGTAATACTCGCGTACTGAACTGCCGTGTGTTGTAGCGTATATTGGTCGCGGAGGCCATATTCTGAAAAGTTTGGCTCTATGTGAACAAAATGACCTGGCAACGACCTTTTTGACAGAGCCTCCTGCCAGAGATCAAAGAATTCACCCAGGATTTGATGCGATTTATCCCATGATGAAATAGGCAGATACTCCATCTGCAACCAAGACACATCGAGCCTTCAAATAGTAGTAATTCACTTGATGTATTTAAATTTAGAAGAAAAGAAATATCACAGAACAATAAAAAATGACAAGATATAGTTATACATTTTAACTGAACCCAAGTGTTTGTACCATTATTGGTGAAGACTACTTGAACAAGAGCAAATTTTTATCCATGTAATGGATGAAACCGGAAACAATATTTAGTTTTCATCAGTATTCATACGAGAATGAATAGCGCCCACGAGACTGTTGTGGCTACAATTGTATACAACTGACTGTTTAATAACCAGAGTTAGAACATGTTTGTTTATGAAAATTTTCACAAAATTTCCACCATCTTAACTCAACCACTTTTTTTAACTCAATTTTAACTCAACCTCACTATCATCAATATAATTAAATAATATCAATCAATCATTCATACACACCACATCAACTTTAATTCACTATTCATCCACTCACAATATGAACGGCCACTCCGTGGAGTCGAATGATCCCACGGGTATAAATCTCGGCCAACTTCTCCATAGACATGGTCATCTATACCCACTAACAATTAACCATACCACCTTTTTCAAAACTAACCAAACCAAACCAAAAAATGTAAACAAAACCAAAAATTTCTATAAACAAACATGCTCTTAGTTTTTTGTACCTTCAAAGTGTCCATCTTAGAATGTTATCAACCAATAGAAAAAGTCGAACAAAGAACACCTAGTATTAATTCCCACGCATCTGCAGTTTTTAGATTAAAAAAAAACACACGTGCACACATAATTTTATAATCATAGGCTGCAGGATCTGTTTATAATTGCATAAACAGGTTCTCATGGACCTAATATATAATACGAAAAACAGAAATCCACTCTTTGAAGACCTGTTTGGCAAGAGGCCAGTCTAATATGTCTATAAAGTATACCATCCAACCATACATTTCTCAGTTCAAACAAATGGTGAAGGCCGAGTTTGGACTGGTCTTCACTCCTCACACAAGACAGAAAAGATTCATTTCAACAGCTAGTTTATAACAAAATACAACTCACCGAAATTTCAAACCAGTGTTAATACTTAACATACATGGCACTGTACTGCTGTATGGTCTTTTCAAGCATGCTATAAATTCCTTTTTCATCATTTATGGTCTAGATAGGTTCTTCAATGGAAACAAAGTCCCTTAGATTTTGATTCTCACATATACCAATGACAATGCAAGCATTACACCTGAACATAATATCATGTGTCTATACATTATGACAAGAATAATAACCTCATATTGCTCCCATTTATACTGATGTTTCCATTGAGGCCGAGTTTATCACCTTCATAAAGTTCTTAAATCAATTCAGGTACCTACGATTTGGGAGAATACTGCCTAGGTAGTTACAAACTCAAGTATTCTACAATCTTGAAATTTGTTTTCCTAATTTAACTACACTAGACTCGATCAAACACTTTCATTTGATAATCCAAATTCAATCATCCAACTACAAGTGATCCAAATAATTAACTACTTGACGGTTCCTACCGGGAACTAGTATAACAGAAACAAGGTCAATAGTTTGCATGTAACTCCATGCAAGCATTTGTTATTAGGGAAATAGCACATAAAAGCAAGTAAAGTGCGAATTCAAAATTTAGAGAATCATAAGTTCCGAGTTACCTCCATTACTATGCCCCTCAAACTTTCCGAATGCATTGGAACCACCTTTCCCACTCGCAACTGAAAGTCGCCAAGTTGGTACATAGTACCCTACACATTGAGTAAAACACTCCAATAAATAAGGGCAAAACGTGATTCCACACTTTATGCTCTTCAGTCTTTCATTATTTAACACAACAGCCACAAACCTCAAAATTAAGGGCGACCCTTGTTTTATAAGATTGCAGTTTCTCCATTATCATCTGAATATTAGACTCGGCCTCAACCACGAGGCGCTGCCCCCTAATTACCAAGAAATATTTACCAGGCTGCTCCGCAAGCGAAATCCCCATGAAATCGCGAGGGAATTCATTACCAATGGCTTGTTCTTACCATAAACAGAAAACAACAACAACAACAACAATAAATTTAGGGTTTTTCTTTTTTTCATTCCAATACAGACTACCAAATTTCTCTTCGCAATTAAAATTGACATACTCGATATCGAATCAGTGCAGATAAATCAGTTTTTCAGAGCAGAAAGCGTACAACACACACACATAGTACGAGATACCTCTGGCCATGGCCTTGTAGAAGCTAAGAGTTGATTTCCAGCGCCCTTCCTTGACGCCATTGATGCTCTCGGCGCACTGGGACACTTCCGTGAGTATTTGGGTGTTCACTGTTGTGCCGGGATTTGGCTGCCAGTGCAAAATCCTGCATCCACCAAACAAACACGCCGTTACGCCATTCGCACCCACACAGTTACTCCCACAGTAGAAGCTTACAATTAAAGTATGACAAAAAAAAGCTCGATTGGGCGTTTACCATTTGATGGGCATTGGATTGGCTTGGAGCTTTGAAGAGAAAGGTATGAGAAGATTTACAGCCCTTCTGGCAATGCGAGCTTGGGAGTGGAAACTGAATATAGACCACATGGACCTTAAAAAGCATACTATGTTCCAAGCATAGGTTTTATTAAAATAAAATATTTGTACAAATATTATTTTATTTATTAAACTATATACAAAGAGAACTTATTTAAAAAAAAATAGTAAAAAAAAATTAACCAACATTTATTACATTTTATTTTTACAATTTTTAAATTTTTCTTTTAAAGTATTTCAAAAAAAAAAAATAATCAATCAGCTATATATGCACTATTTAATTTAGGTAAATTTCGACCGATACTTACAATTTTGCAAAATTTAAAATTCTTTCTCATTTTTATTAAAAAATATGATTATCATAAAATTGAAAATTTCGAATTAGGCAAATATTATCACATATATATTTTTTTCTAATTGCAACGGATCAATTGTTTATTAATAAAACAATTTGCATAAAAATCAGATTAATTTAGGTAAAATTCAGCATAACAATTTTGTAAAAGTCAGAATTCTCTCATTTTTTATTAAAAAAATTACCATCAAATCGAAAATTTTGAATTAGACAAAATACTATAACATGTATCTTTACATAATTGCAATAATGTTTATTAAAAAAAATTGAATTTCATAGAATCAGACCTAATTTCAAATGGAAAATTAAAATTTAAAAATTCCTTATCATTTGGCTATTACTTTCTTTAGTTCGCATTTTTTTAAACATAAAACAGAATCTGATAATATTAATTTAAAATTCAGAATAAAATCATATTGAAACATCCTAAAAATTTGGATTTTGTTTAATCATCCAGAATTCAAATTTGAAATTAAATGCATACACTTACATAATTTTTTTCTTCCTTAAATTAAGTAATTTACAATTTTAAAATAATAAGACTATAGATTATCAAGAAAGGCGTTTTACAATTTTCGTTATATTTGGCTATGCAATCTTCATAAAACCAGTATAAATCATATCATATATATCTTGCTAAATAATTTAATTAAATTAATTAAGCATACTTATAATCTTAATATTATTTGTGGATTTACCAAAAGACCAAATTAACAAATAGTGTTGTGTACGAGAATGTGTTGAATAATATATAAGTTACATTTTGTTTTATTTCAATACATACGTTTTACGTTCTTCCAATCATCCAATCATCCAAATCTAAAATATTTACCTTAATAAAACTAGTTCGTACATCACGGGTACCACACTAGTTAACCATAATTGAAGAAAGTTTTTAATTTATTATCTAACCTGATGAAAATAAATTCCTTATTTAGTCATAGTGCTATGATTTGTCTAATCATTTACCACATATTAATGAATTATATTTGCTCTATTATAAATAAATTTCTTAGTGAAATATGTATTATGTTGATTAAAAAGTAGTTCTATAAAGCGGATTTTAATTTTAATAAAATATATCACTTTTATCATATCTAATTTATTTTATAGTAAATTAAAATATTATTTAAAAATTATAATAAAATGGATATAGTTTTCAGGAAAAAATAAGAAAATCTGAGGTTTCTAATTATTTTTTGTTTATGCGCTTATGCTTTTGAATGCATTATTTTAAATGCATTGATACCCTAGTCGAAAAGAGTTTAACCTTAAGTTTTGACCAATGTACCAAAACAAATGAAGAAAGATATAAAACAAGCAATGTTGCATATACTAGTGCAGTAGGAAGCCTGATGTATTATAGGTTATGTACACGACCAGACAACTGCTTCGCGGTTGGCTTGGTATGTCGTTACCAAAGCAACCTTGGTCCTGCACATTGACAAGCTGTCAAGAGAATCTTCTGGTATCTGTGTGGTACAAGTGTCTTGGTACTTTGCTATCAAGGTGGGCCATTGAAATTAAAAGAAACTCATATTCTGATTGGGGTGGCGATATGGATGAGTCAAAGTCAACTTCAAGATATGTCTTTATATTTGGTGGATGTGCTATATCCTGGTGCATAAAAAACAACATTGCATAGCCATTTCAACTATAGAAGGTGAGTCTGTTTCCAGTTGCATTTTCGTTCAAGAGGCAATATGGTTGAGAAATTTCTCACGGGATCTCAACCTCACCCTAAAGATTGATGAACCTGTAGATTGTGATAATAGTGCTGCTATTCAGTATGCCACGGATTCGAAGTTTTACTAAAAAAACCAAGCATATCAAAACTCAAAATATGTTATCATTTTGTACGAGACACAATAAAAAATAAAGTTGTTATCATTAAGTATATACCCACGAATAAAATGATAGCTTATCCTTTAACTAAATCTATACGCAGAGATATTTTCCAAACTCATGTGATAGGACAATTACCTTTTGATAAACGTAATCAAAAGTCTAGTGACATCTTAACTCATGTCTATTTATACAACCTATCACATAGAGCATATCAAAGTACAAAAAAATTCATATATGTATGGGGTAACATTATACACATTCATATTAAGTATATGTAATATGAATTTTATATATACTTTTGGTTCATAAATATCTTCTTACAGTCACTTTAGTAAGCCTAAGATGAGACTCTAACAAGTAGAATATGAAATAATCATGATGTCATATTAAAGCCTTGAACTCTAATTTCGAGCGGGAGATAAATTATTAAGTATATTTATCAAGTGGCTCGAACTAGATATTTGAGTAGTATTTACACTAAATATTCGTATAACACATTAGAATGACATGTCCATCATAATGGGAGCTATATATGTTATGACACATATATTATAATGTGTGTGCTTTTGAACAACCATTATAGAATTGACAAATATGGTTCTCGACTTTGTCGGTGTGAATCCTATGTACTTTGTTGTCCAGCTTTGTACGAAAGCTTTTGACCTAGAACTATGTTATAAAATTGAGACTTAGTGTTGCTTCTTTAATATGCCCCCCAAGAGCTATGGTCTATACAATTCAACGGAGCATGTTAGAAAAACAACTAAGTTGAGATGTAGTTTCATTAATGTTGAAGGAATAACTGATTCGGTTTCACCACATTAGCTTGGACGGTTATATTCATATATAACCATGTTGTGCATGTAACATATAGGGACTGCGTATGCTATTGTTGATTTTTGAACAGTTAGAAGTTGTCGTAACTATCAAAGTGTTTTGTTAGTTAGATGGTGATGTAATGTAATACTATTACTCGTGTGCAAGAGATTTGTTAATAAAGATTTATGTTGATGATATAGTCTCGGCTTAAGTAGTTGAGTAAGAGTATTGTTTATAATTGATGTTACTCACCTCTATTATGTATGGAGTCATGAAGTGAGGATTCATGATTTCAATAGTGTATAGTTGTATGAAGACGAATATAAATAAGGTGTTTTTGTGCATCCTGAAAAGAAAACACGAACAAGAAGAAAACAATTTGAGTTTATGTCATCACAAACAATCATTAAGTGCATTTTTCTCTTGTAGAGCTAAAACCATAACTAGGCGGCTCGAGTTTTAGAACATGAAGATACCGACGACGCTAGTAGCCACAGGATAAAAAAATCAAATTCTCCTTCTATGAAAATTCTATTAAATAGTTTCCCAATTACCAATTCAAGCTCCAATTGTTTATTTTCATATCACTATTTTTATATTAAAACCAACATAGCAAGCAAAACTTCTTAAAAAAGCTTTAGATAGTGGTTTAAAGATATTCACATGTTATTCTCCAAGAGGAAATATGAAAGTATCATACAACTTCCAAGTGATTCTTTTTCACCTTCTCTTTTTTCTGAGCACCTCACCTGACAGTCACAGACATAAACTTTGAAAAAAAAAAAAAAAAGAAAGAAAGAAAAGTCACATGCATAGTGGAATCAATGGTCTTCAAACACTAGCTAGTAGTGTAGTGTAGTACTGTAGTGTAATGTTATTACAAGTATGTTCAGATGTACGTGTGCCGTGTGCGTTAGAAAAGCCTGCAAAAGTGTGAAAAAAGAACTAAATAAAACATCACTGGCATGGCATGAAGTTCAAGTGAAAAACAGAGCAGAGCATCTTTTCCTTTAGAAATACTAATAAGTAATAATTAGTGAAACCCACAGACTGTATTTTCTTTTTTACGAGAGTCCAATGTGACAACACCACCACACATAGCCCACATGATTTGGATTGTTGTTACCATTGCTTTTGGACGTAATACCGAGAGTCGAATTCGAGCTTCTTCGGGTTTGAACTTTTATCGAAGCCGAGAGCAACTCGTTTCATTAACGAGATCAGCTTCTCTAATTAAACAGCTCGAGCTCAGCTGGTTAATATTATTTTAACGAGCTGAGATATAAAAAAAATACATAAAAAATTCAATTTTAGATCTATAAGGATCTCGAACTCTAACCGACCGAGGCGCGTTCATGAGTGACTGGGGTTGTTTTAGCAACTCTAATGTGAACAAAGAACTATGCTTGGATTTGTAGTAAGGACGGGAGAGTAGAGATAAGGACAGGAGATGGTCTAAACCAAATTACCTACATGACGCAAAATGGGCTGGTGCTTTTTATACCAACAAATACTATTAGCAGCAATAGGTAGAGCCCAACTACAATGTAATAATAATAATTAAAAAAAAAAAAAACCTTACAGGAAATTTCAGGTTATATAACATACACCCATAATTCCAATTACACCCTTCACCAATCCAAAAAAAAAAAAAAGAAAAAAAGAAAAAAAAATTAAACATTCTCCAGGCTAGAAGACACTATATATATACTACATATATAGGTCAAACAGGAAAGGCTTGTCCCACCACCATGTAACTGTACTGTGTTTTTCCCATGACATTAATTTCTTCTGCAAAAAAACACACAAAAAACAAAATAAAAATGAAGCCATTGTAAAATGAAAGTTCAATCAACATAGTATAAGGTAAAATAAATAAGTAGACTTCACCATTTTGGGGTCATGAAGAAGTCATGCAAGAGATTCGTAGTCGTTCGATCCTCGGTATTATTGTTGGCCCAATTAGTCGAATCTTCGCCTTTTGCCGACGACCACTCGTCTAGAAAATGGTGCATCACTTTCTTCTTCTGCTGCTGGTGCTGCTCCTGTTTTTGTTCTCCATCGTCAAACGAACCCAATGACACCGCGTAATTACAATCCTCTCCGTATACACTGTTTCTACAAATATATATATACATATACAGAGTAAATAAACGACATAAATATGCATGTGAATGTGTACATTATATAGATAAGCAAACATGCCTGCAATCTGTGCCGGTTGGGTTGAGAAAATTGAAGCCGGCGATTTGTTGAGATTGAGAGGTATGATGATCGTGATGAGGATAGAGAAAGGAGTGTGATGGCATGTTTGTGTTTAATATGTTTGTTCCGGCCGGATTAGTGGTGGCCGGCGAGTGATTATTATTATTATTGCTGTGGTTGTTGTTATCGTTATAAGTTTCGACCGGCTTTCTTGAACGGTTACGGCCTCTGTGCATGTGTCGTTGGCAATACTTAGATTCCGGGTGGGCCTCTTTGGAGCACCTCCATTTCTTGCCGTCCGTCCTTCGGCAACGCCCGGGCTCCGGGTCGACCTTCCGCCCGAACCCCACCGAAAAGCTGTTCCATCCAACTACAAAAATAAATAAATAAATAAATAAATAAATACAAATAAACAAGCATATATCACTGAATAAAAATACTCTTTTAAAGAAGAACAAATGAGAAACTTTTCATCAAATCAAGTATATTTATGGGTTTGTGTAGAGAGAGAGCGAGAGAGAGAGAGAGAGTACAATTGGGGAGGAGGAGCTTGGAGGAAAGGGAAGAGTGGAAGCTCCGGCGGATGGTGAAGAGGAGGTCGGGAGGGACGGGCATGCCGGAGACCATGTACTTGAAAACAAGTGCTTGTTGTTCGAGCTCTTGCCGTTGGGTGGCCGTGAATGGATACCTAATTCTACTCTCACTATTGTTATTGTTTCTTGGGTTACCACTTATCATCATCGTTCGTCGAATAGAATGAAAATTGCGATTTTTTTATGGGTTTCGAGAGAGGGGAGGGTTTGAGAGAGTTGATTTATTGAGGAGTAAGCAGAATAAGGAGAAGAAGAAAGAATGAAGAATGTGGATTTCTTCTTCAACCTTTAACTAATAACTAGTAAAAGTTTATTTTGTTTCAATTTCAATATTTTGTTAATAAATTATAACTACTATTATAAATGAAAAGGAGGAGAGTAGGTATATTTATTTTGGAGGGACCATTATGGGGGAAGCAGAATCTCTGTACATGGATGGATAAAACTAATGGTTCTCACACACATACACACATTCTAGAGAGAGGATTAGAGAGAGAGAGAGAGAGAGAGAGAGAGAGAGAATCATGTGTAGTGAGTTGTTGGAAAATATACATAAGTTATGATGAGTGGTGGTGCAGAGAGTGCAGAGAGGAGCAGCAGTAGCAGAACAGTCAGGTGATGAGGTCAGAAAGGGCATCAGCTCTCTGCTTTTATGGCACCTTTAATTTCTCTCTCACACACCAATATGGAATCCATAATATGTTGTGTATTATTATTATTACGAAACCATTCCGTCGGGATTTGTAACCGTTAGATCAACTATCCCGACGATTACTTGATGATCTAACGATTACAAATTCTAACGGAATGATGATGATCTAACGGTTACAAATTCTAACGGAATAATCCTGTAGCGGGAGTGTAGCATCTCCCTATTATTACTTAGAGAGAGATTCAATTTTATCATTAGTTTTAATGTTTCACTTAATCTAGGGTTTTAATGTGTATATGTGGGAGTTGATGGTATCTGAATTTCTCAGTGTGGGTGAGGGGATTTGTAACTTGGTACGGTTTCCACTATTTTTTACTGCAGATGCCTTTAAATAAAAATATCACCTTAACACCTTTCATGACTTAAACGAGTACTTCTTCTTGCACCACTCACAAAATTTCACCTTTCTTTCTTTCTTTCTTTTTTTTTTTTTTT